TGACCACCACCCAACACTGGGTTTAGAGATACTTTGAGAGTCCAAGCCACAAATCAAGGTCGGCTGTCACTAGTGCCAGACTTAGGGTTGCTCAGCAAAAGGTATGGGGCATGCCAAGGCCAGATGCTGCTTGTTTGGGGTTTCTGAATCTTTGAGAGCTTTTAGGAAAGTACGCAGCATAGCCAAGACAGGCTGTTTGTATGGAAAAGCCACTAGAAGTGGCTTGCATGGGCCCACAAGTTGGGTGTAGGATCTCAGGGAATCACTAGGGCAGGATGAGCAGTCTTAGCCATGTTGATGGAGACTCAGATATGGCATCCACCTGTGCAGGCTGGGTGAGTAGAGGATTTAACAAAGGAATAATGACTTCTGACAGCAGTTCTGTCTGAGAGAAAGCTGCCTCTTTAGCCCTCGCCCTGAACCCAGACAATTTAGTTCCTTCCCATATGCCCCTCGTTCTTTTCAAGCTGCTGCCCCAACTCTGGAGCTCAGAGCGAGTGAGTCTGTCAGTGAGTAATTTTGTATGCAGTCCCTTTAAGAGGATAATTTAGGACTTCATCTGCTATCTGTCTCACTCAGCCACAATCTCTGCTGGTTTTTACAGCTAAAGGTTGTGAGGAATCTCTTCCCAGTACTCGAAACCTGGGCTAGGGAGCCAGGTGTTTGGGGTTGGGACCCTTGCTCCTCGGGACCTCTGCAGCTGAGATATTTCTTCTGATTTTTAACTGCTACATATGGGTGTGGGGCCAGCATGTCCAATCTCTTCACCTTTCCTACCAATCTCCAGGTGGCTTCTTCTGTGTATCTTTAGTTAAAGATATTTTGGCAGTTCTCAATGATGGTCGTTCTGTGGTTTAGTTGTAATTTTGAGGTGGTCATTAGAGGAGGTAAGCACAGCATTTACGTACTCTTCCATCTTGACTGGAACTGAAACTATATATAGTTTTATAATATTTATCTGATTTTCTCTTTATCTAAGAATTATTTATTAAAAATGAATTCCAATTTTAAGTAGTTTCTTTCTAGTTATCATTTTGTTATTAATTTTTAGTTTTATGTCATCATGGCACAAAATTATGGCCCATGCAATTTCTGTCTTTTGGAATTGAGATCTTTTTATTTAGGCATAAAGGTGGTAGGAACGATGATTGTTGTGTAGTTTAGCATGTTAATATATTTTTTAAATTTTATTTTATTATTAGTTTCAAGTATATAGTTTGTTGGCTAGAGATTTATATAGTTTATAAAACGATCTCCCTGACTCTCCTCTGGCTCTCCACCTAGCCATTACATTAATGCTAACTGCATTCCCTATGCCATGCTCCTCATCCCCGTGACCATTTATCAACAATTAATTTGTACTTCTTTAATCCTTCACCCCATTCTCCCAGCCCCCCAGTTCTCCTCCTAGATTGTCCTCTTTATTTGTGAGTCTATTTTTGACTAGTTAATTCTTTTTGTTCCTTAGATTCTACATATAAATGAAATGATATGGTATTTATCTTTATGTGACTTATTTCACTTAGCATGTTAATGTTTTTAAATATTCCATGGAACTTAATTATACATTAATTACATTATTCAAATTTTTATGTCCCTTTTTTTTGTTTGTCAAAAGCTGAGTCTACACCAAATTGTGTCTTAATTATGTTCTTTTCGAATTTCTAATTACTTTTGCTTTATTTTATATTTATGCTATATTATATGTTGCATAAAATTCATGGCTAAAATTATCAAAAGTTACTTTTGGTTATACATCTATAATTGAAAAGGTATTATGTAATTTAAAAGATTCACAATTCATGCTGTATATTTTTATAATTTATATAAAGCAATTCTAATATTTATATTACTATGCTTAGCACAGATAAGCTAAACTTTGTGAAATACTTAAATAAGAAAGTTAAGAAACTTATGTGAAATAGTAAGGAATTTTATATCTTTAATAAAAATATAGGCAATAAATTGAAGTTTTTTAAGGCAATGCTTTTTTTACACAAAGGCTTAAATTCCTCTATCTTACTATACTCTTTACATTTTATCAATGCTATAAAAAATGGATAAAGTCATTTGAGTCCTCATGACACTACATCATTCTATTATCTAAATGATTACTACACAGATCAAACAATCATTAATTCTGTGAAAATATATGGGGATGAGATAATTGATTTTAAGAAAACAATCATCCACACTACTCAATGGCAAATATCTGAGTTTTATTAAAACTCAATACCAAAGAAAATTCCGCTCATTAATCCTATCTTTATGTTTTTTAATACACCGTGAAAAAAACAACTTTGGAAATACTGATCATTATAATAATGAATATGGATGTTTGGATATTAATAAATATCAGATTTCTCATTTAAAAAGATAAAGGAGAGAAATATGTATGTCGGAGAGGGTAAAAACCTATCTGTCGGAGGGGGTAAAAACCCATCTGACTAGTAATCAAAATAAAATAAACAAATTCAAACTCAAGGTAGTGTGTATGCCTTACACAGAACATTCCAGAAAAAATAAATAAATAAAATAATCAAAAATTAGACTGACCTTGGATTTCTTCTCTGTAACAGAAAATATATTTATATTTGATATTTACATTATTTTAGTTTATATTTTTATATTATAAATATGTTTGATATTTCTATTACAGAGGAAATCTACACACAGATACACACATATATTTTTATATCGCTACATTATTACACCATTTTACTGTACATAGAGTAAAAGAGGGAAAGAATATGATCTCAAGATTCTATACCCAATTATATTATCTTCATTGTGGGTGGTACCTGTAATCAATATAAAATTACTGTTGGTCTTGTTTAATACTTTTCCTATCATAGTATTTTGACTCAATGTAAAATTGCCACACCTGTATTCATTTTACTTACATTTGCCTAATACACCTTCATAATTTCTTTTGTTTTTATTGTCATTTTAATTTAAATGTGTTTCTTATAGATTACTTGTAATTTTGACTCTATTTGTTAAACCAATATAGTTGGCCTTCTTTTGCTTATTCTATGTATTCTATTATTTGTACTTATTTTTTACCTTTTTGTTTTTATTTATTTTCCCTTTTTTAATGTATGGATAATGCTTTGCTGTTTTAAAAGCTTTTATATATCTCTGATTATTACTTTATTTTTATTTACTTTTGTATCTTTGTCAAGAATCCTCTTTACTTAAGAATGGAACCCTGATTCTCTATCTTTTAATTTCATATATTTCTAGTTCTTTTTTCTCATTATTTTTGCATTCTAAAACAATTTTTCAAATACGCTTTTTATTTACTAATTTAATTTTTAAAAGGGTCAATTTTGGTTTTGATGCTTTAAATTAGGTTATTATTCTTATCACTGAATTTTTAGTTTCTTTTCCATCTGTTCTTATCTCAGGTGGCCATCTTTTCATCTCAGAATGCATCCTAGACTATATTTTTGTTTCAGCCAGGTTGCTTCTTATTAATTCTTACTCCTCTTTCACACTGTCCAACATGTTCTAATATTTTTGCATTTTCTTTTTAAAATCATTTTCAGAGGTATGCTTTCTCAAGTCTTACAAATCCCATCCTGTATTTTATTTTCTTGTTAGTGAAAATATCTTTCAATGAATACTCCTGCCCTGGTGTTTGCCAATAGATGAATCGATCAGTTGGTGTTTGGACTCCCTTCCTCCTTGTGCCCCTCCCACTCCCTTGCCCCTGCAAGGCCCTTAATTGCTTTCTCAGGTGTTGGCACAGTTCTTCTCTCATTAGAGATGGAAAGTGAGTTGATGGGCACAGCAAGCATCCATACACTATGGCCCACTTCTTCCTGTATGTATTGCTCAGTTATTTACAAATCTGATCAAGTAGAGGGTATAAAAGATGTCAGCAATCAGCACTTACTATGCCCAAGGCTCTTCCCATTTGTATACCCACCTGTAGGGCTGTTGTATGTGAAAACTGCCTCTCTTAGGATGCAATGTGCAACCTCCAGTCCTGCTTTATTTTCTGAAATGCTTTTTTTGAAAGACAGAATTCGTGGTCTCCGGATGGAATTAGAAATAAAGGTTCCAATATCAGACAAGGAACTGATGGAGCAAACAGACCTCTAACCATTTATAAAGCAGGACCTACCTACACTGTTGGGGGATGGCACTGATACGCAGGTGTCTCTGATTAGAGAGAGAGTGTAGGAAGACTGAGGTTAAGGTTTTCTCTGCTTCAAAAGGAAAGGATCCATCCAGGTCACTTATTGGGTTTCCAGTCCAAGTAAATTAACCTTGTATTTAGTGCAAATTCCTCCAAGATTCTGGCAGTAGTTTGACTGTTAGTCTTGGTTCTTCCTCTCCTAAGTTTTGGTCTTTTTCTTTTGCAGGAGATTATATTAGGGATTGCTTAACTTGATCACTTATTAGCTCAAGAGAAAGAGACCTTAAGGATCATTTATCTTCTTAAAAATTATAATAATTATGCCACCTAATTAAATGAACAAATGAACAGGAGTAGCATTTTTAATACTTCTCCCATTACTATCGTTTATATTTTAAAAAATTAAACTAAAAGCCACATAATCAAATTTGGTTTCAAAATGTTTTAAAAATACTAATATAAAGGTATCTTGCTATTTTGGAATATATTGGGTATAGTAACTATTATTTAAATATTATTCTATATACTTACATATCAAATCTTATATAAAACTTTTTTTACTCTTTCCTACAGAATTGGTGATATAGGACTAAAGCAATTTCTTGATGGTCCCGTGAGCATAAGGATAAGAGAGCTAAATTTAAGTAACTGTATCAACCTGGGTGATGCTTCTATTGTGAAACTATCAGAGCGGTATGATAAAACCATAATATTTTACATCACATCATTAGTAATTGTATATCTGCTAACAGGAGAGATAAGAGATAGACCTTCAAAGCCATTTGGAAAATATCAGGAATGACCAGAAGCTGGTCCAATACTCGGTGGAGCCAAATAAAAGACATTGAAGTCATAGATTAAACTAATCTTTTGATTATATATGAGATGTTTCTTATTAATTTCACCTTAGAGAAAGTTTGGAATGGAGTCATTCATGAAGTTGTGAATATCTAGGCAGGAGTGATTTCTCTGTACTTTTCAAGGATATTATCTCTATGGAAACTTTTACTCCAGCATTTCTCAAGGAATGTTCTAGCTGGTGGGTTTATTCGTAATTCTCCTTACTTGTCAGAGGTCTTGTGTACACTAAGGGTCAAGCCCAATTCCTATAGCAAACTTGTAGGGGGTAAGTGTAAAACCTAACTTTGCACTTTTAGGGTCATTCATTGTGGTACTTACATGATAACTCTTTGTATGCATTTGATATATTTTTTCTTATTAGAAATTGCAATATGAAACAATCACAGAAAGAATGTTTTATGTAATAACCAACCTCCATCCAACTTTGTAATGACAAATTATTTTCTACTTTTAAGCTTACTTTCATGTTGAGAAAAGGAAAATCCTTGCTTTAATACCATTTGCTTTCTCAGATAGTTTTTATGTGAAGAAATTGATACTGGCAGTGTGATTAAAAGCTAAAATTAATTTTTCATGCTGTTTCTTTCAGCTGCCCTAATTTAAACTACTTGAGTTTACGAAATTGTGAACATTTGACTGACCTAGGAATTGAATATATTGTAAACATCCCTAACTTGGTATCAGTAGATCTCTCTGGAACAGACATCTCTAATGAGGTAAAAAAAAAAATGTTTAAAACAGTTCAATAACTTTTATTGTTTCCTGTAATATAAACATGTTCTATTTTGTAAACAATGGGGAGATCAAGAATTATTTTTATTAAACTATTAGACCTAAAATGTAAGTTTAAAAATATCGTTTCTGGAATAGTGATAGATGAGGTTATTTGTAAATTAATGGTCTTTTTTTCTCTTTTAAAAAATGGCAAACTACAGTATTACAAGTAAAGTCCTGACAGATTAGAGTGTTACATGATAGATCTGAAGATTTTTCATAATTGAAATTTGGTCAATATGGAAATAACATATTTTAGATGGCTCAAGTATATTTTTCTTGTGGATTACATGTTCTTCTATAAGACTGAGTGCCTTGAGATCCAAATCTTTAGTTCAAAACTGAAGTCTGGAAATGGCCTCATCAAATCTACAAAAGGATACATTTTAAGGAACTAATGAGTTTCTGAAAGCTGCCTTGCTACTCATTAATGTTGAAACTCAGGTCACATCCATCCTATCACTCCAGCACTACTCCATTTACTCATCAAAAGGAAGGTAAATCTGGAAAGATTTGCCATGTTTCTGAAAGATTTTAATGGGCTGTTGTCCCAGCATCAAGCCCCCTTCAATTCTTCAGGCTCTTTTGTCTTATATGCCTTGTTCTGGGCTCTTCTGGGTCATGCTGGGAGATGAGAACTGTGTGAGGATGATTTAAATCCATAGCCCTAGACATCTTTAGCAAACATTTTCCTGCTCTCAATTTGGGTTTATTTGCCATGAGACTCCTGCGTCACCTTTCTCGCACTCTGCTACAAAGTAGCTGACTCATGTCAGCTAGATTCCAGTTGGGTTTGGTGCTTTTAAGGCATTTGTAAACAGACGGAGGGGTCAGAAGGAGGAAGAGACCAGGGTTTTCTTCTACCTCTCTTTGTATCATAATCAGCAGCTGCATTTCCTTTGTAATGTAGTTCCTCTTCTCAGGCCTGCCGCGGTTCCAGCTTCCCAGGATGACCTTGGCCCCTGGGCTCCAATAACACCATCTTTCCCTCTAGTCCTTCCAACAAAGGATTAGTAGCAGCTTCCTGCTAGTGCTAATCTCTAGACTGTGTCGTGACTCCTTTGGCCTCTCAGTTTCTTTACCATCTCCGTAGTCAATTCCTTGTCAAAATGAAATTTCCTCAGTTTTAAATAGAGTTATTTCTGTTTTCCTCATTAGAGCTAATACAATATGAGCACAGAAAAACTCTGATACCTTGTTGCTTCTCACAACCCTACAAGAGAAAGGTGAAATTGGTTCTCATTTACTTAGATCTCCAAACCTGTCAGGAGATTCCAACTTTCTCTCCAGCTGAATAGAGTCCAGGGAGATCCAAAACAGGGTCCCTGTATGGGGGATCATCCAGCATATCATTCTTTTGCTTCCCTGATTCTCTCTTCTCCTCTACATTTCTTTCCTCTCCTCCTTTCGTCTCCTCCCTTCTCTTTACCTTTCCCCTCCTCTTTTCTTTAGGCGTAGATTCTTATCTAATCTGGGAGTGGAAATGTTTCAACGAATTACATGGTTTTTAAAAATGTTATGCCCCAAGTCTTTCAAAGTTTAGGATTTGAAGCTTAAAAGCCATAAAAGCTTAGAGAAAGGGTTTTTTTTTTTTCCTTCCGTGTTCTGTAAAAACTCTTCCCTGACACATACAAGTAGAATGCCCAGCTGTTGTCTGAAGAGTCACAGGGTAACAAAAAGTAGAGGATTAAAGCACATTATAAAACACATCAAAATGTAATTCTACCACAGCACTGATCACAAGCCTGCAGTGTCTGGTGAACATTTGTTGAATGAAGGGAATGAGGCTTAAATGCTCTATCTTAGTTTTTAGCTTTGGAGGAAAACTCAGTTTTTATTTTTAAAGACCATATATTGAAATTTTACATACGGAGGACAAATTAAAAACATAGAAACATACCTTCAAGTATCATTCATTGTTTTCATTTTTTTTTTTTTGTAAAGAATATTCACAATCTGAGAGCTGTATATGGACATGTAGGGGAAGAGTACTAGTTGTTTCCTCCTGGAAGATTGAAAAATAAGTCTTTTGAATATTGTTGTTTTCTTCCTCCAAATCAGTTAAACTCTGATCCGAAAGACAAGTGATTGACAATACAGTACTATAACAGCTGTGGAAGCTAACCTCAAACAGTCAAATTAAAATGAGTCACCCAGATGTCAACTTGGGCAGCTAAACACCACGCCTAAATTGTAGGTCTGATGAAGTGCAATTTGACTACAGACTTAGCATTCAGGATTTAAACTCTGGAATGTTACAAATATTCACTGTAGATGGAATGTGACTAGTTGTGCCTTTGAAAAAAAAGTTTCCTATGTTTTCTTATAATTATGTTCACTTTCAATTATTTTCAATAGTAAGTTTTCAGTCCCAATCACACTACTCATTTAGTTAGCAAATATTTATTTTGACTACCTGAGCTTGTGGATGCTGGGGATGCTGGAGTGAACAAAACAAACATGGCCCCTCTTCTTAGCACTTACATTCTAGTGGAAGACAGTAATGGGACAAGTGCTTACAAAGTGTGATGAATGTGGGACACAAAGAGAAGAGAAACTTAACCTAGCTCAGAGAGTCAGGGAAGACCTGACCTTTTCCAACAGAAGGAAAATAGGTATGGGAAGAACCAAATAAATAGCCTGAACAAAGATACAGAGGTTTAGAACTATGGTGGCATCAAGGAAATCTGCACATTCGGAGATGGCTTGAACATGAGGAGAGTGGTGAGAGATGATGTTTGAGAGGTAGGCAGGGGCCAGGTCGTGAGGGGCCCAAAAGCCACACTGAGGAATTTATTCTCTGCCCTTTTGGCAATGAAAGGACATTCAGTACTATTAATTAGATAGACATGGTCACGTCAGCATTTTAAAAAGATCACTCTGTCTGCTAAATAGACATGGTAATAATAGATGAATCAGTGACTGGCTGTGAAACAGAAATCCAAGTGAAAAGTTATAAGGGTCTGCATTAGGGCTAGAGCCAGGGAAATGGCAAGAGCAGTTAGCAGATTTGAGAGACATTTAAGAGGAAGAATCAATAGGAGATAGAGATAGGCTGATTATTGGGGTAAAGACAAGAGGGAGGGAATCAGGAATGATGTCAGATTTTTGGCTTAAGCCTCTGTGTCTCTTACTAATCCATGTCCTTAAACATCTGTGTCTCTTACTAATCCATGTCCTTTCCACAGCAGGAGGAGCAGGGAAATCAGCAAAATTCACTCCTCAGAGATATAAGAACTTTTTAGGTTTGCAGATTGTGAAGGGGCATTGCATTCTGAAAATCATGGAAACTCATGAGGCAATTACTTAGCAAAGGCAGAAAACAGATATTTAGAAATCTAGAAATATGTTGAATTGAGAGAGCTAATTTAAATGGGGGAAGCAAAGAGGAGAACACAGTTATTTCAACCTCTGTATACTTCTTATAGTAATTTTATTGTCCTCAGAAATTCCTTTCTAGAAAATAATGTATTGTATCATCCATGTTTTATATGTTATC